TGTATATCAACACCAATCAGAAAGATTAAATACAAGGTACTTCACAAGTTAACTAAATTTCTATATCTCTCATACTTCAACCCACACAATGGAATGTTGCCACGAATATGAAACTTCGCCCATGAAAACTAATCAGCGAGACCAACCAAGGTGCACCATAAGGCACCAACAACCCAATATAAGCCAACAGTGAAATAAAGCGAAACCAAGAAACAATTAGATACTTCAAATAAGAGAGCAACAGTTAATATGAATGATCTTATCCTGAATGATCTTAACCTTGTCCAAGGCATCCTGTACCGAATCGGTACCCAACAACCAAGCCTCCCCCAGCTCAAACCACCCGACTGGTGACCGACACCGTCTACCATTTAATGCCTCTTAAGGAGCCATCTGGATGCTCGACTGATAGCTGTTGTTATAAGCAAACTCTGCTAATGGCAAGAACTGATCCACGAACGTCCAAAGTCAATAAAACAGGCGCGAAGCATATCCTCCAAAATCTGAATAGTACGCTCGGATTGTCCGTCCGTTTGAGGATGAAATGTTGTGCTCAACTCGACCCGTGTACCCAGCTCACGCTGAACTGCCCTCCGGAAATGCGAGGTAAACTGCGTACCTCGGTCAGAAATGATAGACACGGGCACACCATGAAGACGAACAATCTCCCGGATATAGATCTCCGCCAACCGCTCCGAAGAATAGGAAACTGCCACAGGAATGAAATGCGCCGACTTAGTCAGACTATCAATAATAACCCATACCGCATCGAACTTCCTCTGGTCCGTGGGAGTCCAATAACGAAGTCCATAGTGATACGCTCCCACTTCCACTCAGGAATCTCAATCTGCTGAAGCAAACAACCAGGTCTCTGATGCTCGTACTTTACCTGCTGACAATTCAAACATCAAGCTACATATGCAACAATATCCTTCTTTATCCTCCTCCACCAATAATGCTGCCGTAAATCTTGATACATCTTAGCGGCGCCCGGGTGAATAGAATACCGGGAACTATGGGTCTCCTCTAGAATCATCTCACGAAGTCCATCCACATTAGGCGCATAAACTCGACCCTGCATCCTCAAAACTCCATCATCTCCAACTGTAACCTGCTTGGCACTACCGTGCCGCACTGAGTCCCTAAGGACAAGCAAATGAGGATCATCATACTGCTGATCCCTGATACGTTCAAATAATGAAGACCGAGCGACTGTACAAGCTAAAACACGGCTAGGCTCAGAAACATCCAACCTCACGAACTGATTGGCTAACGCCTGAACATCCAAAGCAATCGGTCTTTCACTGACCGGAATATACGCAAGGCTGCCCATACTGGCTAACTTCCTACTCAAAGCATCGGCCACCACATTGGCCTTCCCCGGATGATACAAGATGGTGATATCATAGTCTTTCAATAGCTCCAACCACCTCCTTTACCTCAAATTTAGCTCCTTCGGCTTGAACAAATACTGTAGACTCTTGTGATCCGTGAACACCTCACATGACACGCCATATAAATAATGTCTCCATATCTTTAGCGCGTGAACAATGGCTGCTAGCTCCAAATCATGAACTGGATAATTCTTCTCGTGAATCTTCAACTATCGCGAAGCATATGCAATAACCTTGCCATTATGCATCAACACCGCACCCAATCCAATACGAAAGGCGTCACAATAAACGGTATATGGCCCTGAGCCTGTGGGCAACACCAACACAATTTTCTTTAAAAACTCTTTTCTCGGGCTAGGGACCTCAAAATTCGATTCCGGGCATACGCCCAAGTCCCATATTTTACTACGGACCCTACGGGACCGTCAAATCACGGGTCTGGGTCTGTTTACCAAAAATATTGACCGAAGTCAACTTTAATCAATTTTAATGGCCAAATTCAATATTTTTCTTAAATTTCACATAGAAGCTTTCCAGATACGCGCCCGGGCTGCGCACGCAAATCGAGGAGAAAGAAAATGAGGTTTTTAAGGCTTAGGAACCCGGATTCGGGTTCTAAAATAAAATATGACCCTTTGGGTCATCACAAACCGTCCATCGTATCTCCCGAGGTACAAGAGCCATACTTGGTCCGGGGCATGTTGACTTACCGTGTCCGTTCTTCAATACATCGTTCACTGTTCTCGGGTCTCGTTATGAGGGTTTCCCGGCCTCAATTATCATTTCGTCGATCCGTGCTTCCCCTTCATTCTCTCACTGGGAAATCGGGGAAAATATTGCCCCCGATTTTACCCGTACACAGTTTCATGTTTGAGCATATCCATGTAATTGGAGGTTTGAGCTCGAGACTTGGGAAATAATGAATAAAGTTAAAAATACAATTGTATATTGGCAAATAATTTATGATCAAGGTTTTTTTTTTTTCTGAAGAATTAATCTAAATAGTCATCTTACTTAATCACTTAAACTAAAAGCATATATATATATATATATATATCGATTAGAAAACGTTAATANGAGCTCGAGACTTGGGAAATAATAGAATAAAGTTAAAAATACAATTGTATATTGGCAATAATTTATGATCTAAGGTTTTTTTTTCTTTGAAGAATTAATATAAATAGTCATCTTACTTAATCACTTAAACTAAAAGCATATATATATATATATATATATATATCGATTAGAAAAAGTTAATAATATATTTGATAGGCTATTTGTGTAAAGATTTTTTCCAGAGGGACCCATTAAAAGGCTGTGAATAGCAAGGAAATTATATGTGTTTCGTGGCCGACCAAAATGAGAGGGGAGATAGGGTAAGACGTGGAAGTGTCACAGGAGGTTGCCATTGGTCTTGAAGTCCTAAGATACTGTTGTTTGCTGGTGAATTGTTCTTTGCATTATTCTATAGTTGGAAGGGAGTTTTGAAAATTATTGTGTATCATCTATAGATTACAGGTTTGAGTCGTGAAACTAATCATTAATATTTGTATTAGGATAGGTTATCTACGTCATACTTCTTGGGGTGCAACCCCTTCCCAAAACCTACGTGAACACAAAATACCTTGTGAACCAAACTGTCATTTTTTTAATTTCTATATAGTGACACAGCAAAACAATTATACTATTAAATCATCTAAGAAAACTATACAGGTACAAGATATGATAAGTGAATTTAATAACTTGAAAAATATATAAGAATTTACGATAATGATGGATGATATCTTATCGAATCAAATCTTATATTATCAAATAATGGTGTTTGGCTAGTTAATGCCTTAATAAATTTAGGGACCTAATATGGAGTTACCTAAATGAAGAAATTAATTTATGAACTGGTGGACAGGTGGAATGATTTTGAATGATATTGTACTTCCTATCATGTCCCAATTCCATAGTATTTACGTATATATATACATATATAATAGATATTAGTCTTATGGTACGCGCTTTACGTGTGTATCCATGTATGAGTATAAAAAAAATTTTAAAAATATATAAAGATTATTAAATAATATGTTTGCATTAAAAATATAAGTTCCCAAAAATTAATGATGAATGTTGATTATGTGTCGCTTGCTTAATAAATAAGAAAATATGAATTATTGCACCTTTTGGGTGTTCCGCCAATGACCGAAGTTATCAGATTATATTTTTTTTCCTCTCTCCCTTCTTCTTTCTCTCTATCTCTATTATATAGTTTTTTGTTATTTGTTTTGATAGTTGAGTATTGTCTTAAAATATTATACAAAATAATCAATAAAGGGAAAACTATTATTTGAGTAATTAATTAAAAGAGTTTAAAGATAACATCGAATGAATTATAGTCATGTTATGCCCAAAAAATTATGATCATATTATATTATTCAAATAATGATTTATATAAGATAAATTCTTGATTGCTCTTAAAATCCTAAATATCAAGACTTCCAACATAATTCAAATAAAAAAGAATTTAAAAGGTAAAAAAAATCAATGAATATTCGGTTATAAATCTAAATCATTTTTGTTTTCACTTGCCAAATAGGAGTTAGGAAAAATTAAGACTGGCCTCGGAGTGAGACACTCGTAAAATATTCTTGGATTACGTGTGGACTCTTATCTTGTGAAGCTACCGCCTCAAGTGCCCCGAACTTATGCTTGATATGCACCCAACGCCTAGCGTGCAAGCTCGTCCAAAAGTTATTGATCAATTATGTGTAATTAGCTTTGTATGTAGATTATCAAAAATTCATTAACAATCACTTGACTCCTGAAAAGCTCTATTCATTAATTGTAGTTCATAAGTTGAGATCGAACACTAATATCGCACCATGAAAATAAATTTGAGCGAACCTTTCATCCAAAAATTCTTCATGTTTTAACTTTTGTTAGATCTTCATTATTTAATTCTTTATAATTGTCTCTCAAAATCTTATTTTTATACTTTATTTCGTTTGATAACAATATTTTTGTATTTGTGGACTATAAAATTTATTATTTAATAATTAGTGTTAGTAATAACAATTTACAAATAACTATATACATTAATGTTTTCTGTAAGAAATTAAAGTATTGAATTGTTTTTAATTT